AGTCTTTGAAGGAGAAATAGCTCTATGAAATGTTCCTTAGAACCAAAGTTTAATCTGTGTCCTCTACCTCAATCCCCACAGGTGGGTGGCTATTTCACACATTTACCATCTGATATGATGTATTATTTAGCCAACAGAGCTCCTCAGTATATGCACCAAAACTAAATATTGGTAATCCACTTGCATTATTTATGTCCTATAAATGTTCAGAAAATAATTTATAATCTCTAGCATCCTTCCCCAAATTATGAACCAGTATTTTTAAGAGGACTATAGGAGTTCAGCTGTAAGTGTTCCAAGGGAAGGCCTATGTCAAATTGAATTCTCAGCACCCAGCCCAATCCTGCTTGCCCAGGGAATGCCCATAAATCTCCACTAAATACATTTAAAAAGGGACAGTACAGTAGACATCAAAAGTATTCACCTGAAAAATATGGATAAAGCAAAGACTGGACACTTCAGACTGCTAAACTTACTACTCAGATAGACGATCAAATGGATGAGGGTAAGTATTTAGAAATGAAGATCCAGGAGTCAGCTAAGGTCTCCTTAAACCTGGTTCCATTCTCTTTTGACCCTGTCTTTGTGGGCAGAAAATGACTTAAACAACAGAGTAAATCTTGACTTCCACAATAACTTTGATGCTGGTCTTTTATACACCTTAGAAAAAAACTGAGGAAATTGTAGGCATGATGACAGAGCTATTAGAAGGCTTCACAATGATTGGAGAAATTCATACAGGAAGACTGGGGCTGCTGGATTGAAGTTACATAAAGCGATCATTCGGTAGTGTACTAAGAGTTCTTTTTTAGTCAACATATTTCTTCCCTGAGTTGGAAGAACATGAAAGACACATCTACAGGTAACATAAGGCTGGAAAGGACAAGTATCATATGGAATGTAACTCAGAAGGCCCTGCTGGGCTAGGGTGGCATAGGAAAACAGCATGATGCACTTGAATAGGGACAGATGGAGTTTATGTAATCAAGTATGCAAATAAAGCATAATTAGGGATAAAGGCATATAAAGAAGAAATGACTTTAGGATGGGGGTGTAGTCTTGTCTGGCAGCAGCTTAACACTGGTGCAATACAAAAGCTACTTTAAAAGCTCATGCCACAGTGGACCATGTTATAGGTGCTAAACAAGGCCTATTGCTGGCTCTCAAGATGTGGGCAGGACATTACAAGAGCTGAGCATGATGGCACACACCTATAATCCCAGCAGCTCAGGAGGTTCAGACAGGGGAATTGCAAGTTCAAAGACAGCTTCAGCAATTTAGCAAATCCCTAAGCAACTTGGTGAGACCCTGTCTCTAAGTAAAAAATGAAAAGGGCTGGGGATGTGGCTCAGTGGCAAAGTGGTGAAGGCATTCATCCGCTGTCTGACAGGGTCACAATGTGGGGGATGCTGCGCCAGGGCCACACCATCTGGAAACTGGAACCATGGGGAATGTTAAGTGTTTTGTTTATGATACTCATGATAATAGGATAATAGGGCATACATCAATCAATAATGAAAGTATGTGTTGCCTGAGATTGCAGGAAAATTCCCAGAATGAGATTAAGGATACAATTAAGACATGCCCCAAGGTGTGTTTCAGTGTCGCTCAGGATACAAAAAAAATAGTGTTATTCCTCAAGAAATTCATGGGAAAAAGATCGCAAATCGAGGTTCCTGAGAAAAGCTTAACAATTTCTACTAAGCCCTCCCCGCCGTTCTAAAGCCACAACCTGTGCAACATACATTCCCCCCACTAACAGACCCTCCTTTGCCTTACACAGGAATTCATGATGAGAATTGGAAACACATAGTTAATATAAATGACAAATGGATTGAGGTGCAAAGCCTGCCCTTTAGTTAAAGATTACAAAGATATAAGAATTGGTGTGGACCAAGGATCAAGGAAACTCTTTAAGAAAACAGTTAAATAGGTCATATAAAAAAAGGAAATTATCTTGGAAATTAAAAGCAGAATAATGTAAAATGAATATAGTTATATTTTAGAGGCACTTCAGAGTAGTAGGCTTTTAAGTAATAGACTTTCACTATTTAAAGTGTGTCTTACTGGGACTTTAGTTTAGAGGTAAGAAAACTTACCAATAATCATAGGTATGCTTTAAAGTTAAAGGTTGATGAAATAATAATAGGTAGGTTTTAAAGTTAAAAGTTAATAATAGGTCCGGAGACATGCAGTCTAGTTGCGTAGTCTAACACCTAGTGATTGAGGTGAAAATTGTAAAAGCTTAATCATGATTGGCTAAGGTTATAGGAAAATATTTTAAACAATGTACTCAGTATCTTAGGTAATTAATATATGCCAGAAAAGACCATAACTCTTAAAAATCATATAAATCAAATGAGCTTTGGGCTTTGAAGCTATCCATTATCTACCTGAAAAAACACACCTGTAAAAAAGGTATAAAAATAAAGGTCCCTCTAGGGGCAGCAGAGTTTTTCTGGAGGCTGCTGGTAACTTGCAACCTATCATCCCATCTCTTCTTCTTTTGCTGATGCCACTCCTCCTTCAGGACCTCTGGATCCCTGCCAGGGCTGGACCCCTGCAGTAAAGTGTCCCTGGGTTCAATCCCTAGTACAAATATATACAAGTACAAACATCACAAGAGGAATTCTGGGGAAGAATTCTATTGGACCCATTGAGGAGATTAAGGATGTTTCTGTAGAAGAAAAGGCCTAAAAATGTTGTATTAGAGTTTCACACGATGAAGAGTTTTCCACTGGAAGTGGTAGGGTATATTTTACTGTTTTCCAGAGGTACCATTTTTTTGAGGAGAAAAAGGATTCATAGATCTTAAGGATCTATTAAAGACATAAGCCATCCACCCAGGAGACAGACAGACAGACAGACAGACACAGACACACACACACACACACACACGCACACACTTCACATATTGTTTTAGATTGTTCTAAACCAGATTAAGAATTTTTAGCTCAGAAGTTAAAAGGACCCAGGTTTCATTTAATAGAAGAAAGAATTTTCCCCTGGACCTCTGAAGCAATACTCTTGATCAGGGAAACTAACAAAAGAATTCTTATGTGCAGAGGGAGTGGGGGCATCTGGAGCTGGTAATCTGAAAGGCTCTTTCCAATTCTAGGATTCCCTAGTCGAAAATGAATTTCTAAATAATTTCACAATATTAAAATAAACATGTAAAATAATACTTGTTATTGCCATTATTGTGAAAAATTTATATACCAACAATGCCCGTTACACTCTATTAATCAAAGTAGGATCAAAATAAAGACCATCCAGGCATCAATATAACATACTAGATGTATCTGAAAATGGTTTTATTCATTATAACTATAGTAGCAATGGATACCTAAGTTATTTCTTGCAGTAAAAGATCTTTCTTTCCAAGTTGCTTTTGAAAAATTCTGATTCACAAAAGGCATGGCAGCAGAGGTACACACACAGCATTTGCAACAGAAGCTCTTACTTTATATTTGGTTATACACTCTTTTCTAAGCAGCTAGTATAGGTCATCACTATAGACCATACCTATGAGTAATCTTACTGGCTGCAGGACAGAATTTGTTTGTTTTTTGAGGATCTATGTTCTAAGTGACACACTGCTGTCTACACTTAAGAGCCTTTACACATTAACCAGAAGGAAAGTGTGTTTCAATTTCAGGTCTACTCTCATAGGGAAGGAAACAAATCAAAGTAGTTGATAGCAATGCATATGTCTTTAAAACTCAGGTTCTCAGAAATCCTAAGTAGGTAAAGTTTCCTGCTATTTTTCTGAGAAAGTATTCCCTGGATTTTACTTGAATTTCTTCTATTTAAATTCTTACCACTAGTTCTGCCAGTAATCTTGAAAGAGCTCCAACCCTGAAATAATTACAGTCACATTATACTCAAAATTATTTCAGTGTTTCTTACCTACAATCATATTAAACTATAATGAGGTTTTATAAGTGTCTGTTGCCCACACACAGTGCTGCTGCTTGGAAATGATTTTCATAATAAGTAAATGTCCAAAAGAGCCATGAGCCTCAAGGAGAAGCTATGCATATGTACATGTATTGTGTGGAGGGAGAGCAGATGTGAGTATGCTAATGATTCATAAATGGAATCTTAGTGATAGATGTTATTTACTTAAAGGCCCCAACTTTATTGTTTTTCTACTGGGACAGAGAGTTAAGGTATTATTGCATCCTTTTGTTATTCCGCATTTTCCAATTCCCCCTGCTTTGAAAGTCCCATTCAAATCTTTCAAAATGGAAGAACAAATTTACCATCAATGACAGACTCCAAGTGATATGGAGAGTTCATTATTTTTCAAGATCAAGTAAGAACCTTCCAGGAAAAGATTAATGACAATGGACCCACTTTTAATGGAAAGGATTGTCAAATTCCATTGAAATCTGTCATATCTTTTTCTTAGCTCTCAACAAAAGAAAAGCCATCTAGACATTAAGGAGCCACAGAGAATTTCAGAGGTTAATTTTGAGTTATACTTTCTATCTCCTTTGGCTGTAAATATAGCTGATGAGAATTATTTAAGGTTAGTGGTTTCCAAACTTTAGTGTGTGGCAGAACATTGAGAAGACTTATCAAACACAGCCCTGTCACTCAGCGGGTCTGAGGTGGGGCCTAGCAAGTTACTAGGCGAGCCTCTGCTGCTGATCCAAGGAAGGAGACCCTGAAACACACCGGTTGCAGCATCATGTTCCTTTTTTAATTCAAACCTTCACAATGGGGGTTCTTGAGCCAAAGTCTAGATGAGAACCTAAAATACTTTTTGTGGCTTCAGAATCCCCATGAACCCATCTTTCTTGAACTATACTGTGGAAAATATTAGTAAAGAATGAAACTCTCTTCTGCAAGAAGAAATCAAGCTGTTTCTTGAGTCCATCCCCACCATCTTTAAACCTTTTACTAAGTCTTTAGAGTAAAATTCAAAAGGAAAATGTTCTCTAAAGCTTATTTGGAAGGGGTGGCTCAATTGGAAAGAAGATTGGCATACTCACCAGAGAGGAAATATACCCAGTCGTGTGGTGATAAAAACCATGGCAAACATAACAAACAGGAGGTCACACATTTTCTGAAACTTGGCATAATTTGCCATTTTGGCAGCCTATAAAAGGAAGGAATGTAACATATTAATTTAGTTAAGCTGATAAATAAAATTTCTTTTACTATGCATGAGTTCTCTATAAGATAGAGTTTACCAGATGCATAAAATTGCCTGCTACTTTAAAATGTCATGCATCAAACATCAGTATTTATAAATTACTCATAAGTCGAATGAAATGCAGCATTAGCCATAAGTAGAACTACCGACTGTCACAGATTTAATAAAATATTCAGCAACCTGAAAAATTCAATTATATGGTTGATTTCAGGAAAACAGACAGGAAAAATAAGAAACTTTTGTATTATAGATGATATTAGCAAGCCAGAGAACCAAAACAGAAATTTGGCATAATAGATCAAAATAGAAAGTGCTAGATAAACCTTTACTGAGTCCCAAATACTGAGATCACAAACTTAATACAGAATATATGGAACTTTGCTGCATTATTCTCTCTTTCTCTTTAGAATTATGGGTTTTCTTTAAATTGGCAGAGGAACTTCTCTAGGGAGACAATATCCTTGTTTATTTTCACTAACTTAAAAATGAAGAAAGGGTCAAGGTCATGGTATTTCATCTAATCCATTTAGATCGAATTTGCAAAGTTACTTTCCTGGGTCACTTTCTAGATGAAAGTCAAGAATGTTCAAAGCATCTATGAGAAGTATTCAAATAATTTGGGGTAGTGATTTAAGTGACCACATTTTTAATAAATATTTTGTTTTAGTTGTAGTTGGACACAATACCTTTATTTTATTTTTATGTGATGCTGAGGATTAAACCCAGTGCCCTGAATATGCTAGGTGAGCACTCTACCACTGAGCCACAACCCCAGCCCCCACATTTTTATATTATAAACTTATCTGATGAATCACATCCTATTATCTTACTTTTTTGTCACATCCATATCCCCTTTTCACATTTTTTTTTTTTTTGAGACAGGATCTTGCTAAGTTACCGAAGTCCTCACTAAGTTGCTAAGGCTGGTCTCAAACTTGTGATCCTCCTGCCTTAGCCTTTTGAGTGGTATTGTGTCTAGGCATGCACCACCACTCCCAGTTCACCATTAATTTTTTAAGATGATTCTAAATAAGAAAGATGAGGCTGAAAACATTTTGTTTGATCATTTATTTTTACATTTTTATATAGATTTTACATCAACTACACAGTTATAAAATGAAGATGTCTTCGGCATTCAATAACCTTATTTTCTACTTCTTAAAAATTAAATTGGCTAAGTCACACTTGAAAAGATTGTTGGCAGTATCTTCAGAATTTATAATTTAATAGTTTTAAGTAAAGTACAAAACTATAAAATAAATATATTCCGAAGAGGAAGTGAGTGGCACCCAGGATTATAAGCTTTTAATTTCATGCATACTTTGGGTATAGCACCACAATGGTGTTAAAATAAAAAGTATCATCTGCCTGTTTCTGGATAGGTAAATCATCTAATTTTCCCTTTATATTAATCTACCCATATTTTATAAATAAGCAATAACATCAACTTTTCAGAAATGTCTAGGCCATAAATCCCATTTTGAAGATCTCATTAATTGGGTCTCCTCAAACATGATTTATAATGTCAAAAAGGACGCAGGTGATAAAACACATTTTCTTTCAAGCCACATGATTGGGATTCCTGGATTCATTTTCTTTGTTAGATAAAAGGGTAGATGAAAGGGTTTGGGGTTGTAGCTCAGTGGTAGAGCGCTTGCCCAGCACGTGTGAGGCACTGGGTTTGATCCTCATCACCACATTAAAATAAATAAATAAAAATAAAGGTACTGTGTCCAACTACAACTAAAAAATATTTTTATAAAAAGGGTAGGAGACAATTCAACTAAGATTTTCTCAGTCACGGCTCTACTAAGCTGGTGATTTTCAGAGGAGTTGAAGTTGGCTGATTATATAGAATTGATTTCAAAAACTGTAGGCTACTGAATAAATTGTGATTTCTAAACATACATATGATTTAACCAAATGATAATTGATGTTCAGGGGATTACCCTCAAGCTAAATATATTTCTCTTTTTGAAAAATATGTCGAATAGAGTTTAGCTTGAATTACTTAAAATCATAGCACCAGGTTTTCATCTGACTTATCCATTATAGGACTATTTTTCAAACTATTAAAGGCACCAGAGTTTTTAATAAAATGCCATATATACATGACCTTAACTAATGCCTTTACAGTAGATTCAATTTTATAGAACTTATGCTTATATTGCAAAAATTGATCACTGAAGATACTTCTCTGTTCACAGTAATAACAAATGCTTAAAAGTTGGCAAAACTGTGGAGTCAACAGGAATAACAAAATCAGAATACAGATTATAAGATCCATTTCTACATAGAATTTGTACTCTCGCAAGTTATTTTTGACCAATTATATAAAATTGCTTAATATAAAGTGAAGACCTTTATTTAATTATATAACATTATGCAGTGTGATTCTTAAAAGTAGTAAATTATTTATACAGTTTCTATATATATTTGCAATTCATATATGCTTTTCATTCTAAAAACACAAAGATAATATGTACAGTGACAACAAAAACTAATCTACTTAATTTTATTGAGAAGTAAAGTTCCCATTAATGACTACACTTAATTATATAAAAATTTAAAATAAACCAGTATGAAACTTACAGTACAATTAAAACCTATTAAAATAATGACTTCCCTATTATAAAGTCAGTCTCAATGTGGAATAGTAAGTTTTCATCAGCATATTAATAAGGAATCATTATAATTAGTATAAACATTTATATACTAATTTCAAGTCTCATTTTCAGCAGTTTAACCTACAAAACCCCTGTAGTTTGAAAGCACCATCTAGTACAACACAGGAGACCTGATGATCTGGGAAAGTTCAGGAGTCCTGGATTTTGAATTCTTAAGAATGAAGGAAAATTTTTACCTCTAGAAGAGCATCAGCTGAGTCGTGAAGACAAAGGACCAGGGTCCCTACTCGGGCCATATTATTGACGTAAGAAAAGGTAATCAGTAAAACAGATACGAAGTGGTGCAGGAACATGATGCCAAAGTCCTTGAGGAAAGAGAAAGCACAGCCATGTTAGGGTTTCTCAACATTACAGCTTTTCCATTACAGTTTTTCAGCCACTAAAACAATACTTACTGAGAACCTTTACAGGCCTGGCTCTGGAGAATACTAAAATGAACCAGATAAAACACACCAGCCCTCTGGGAGCCCAGTGGGAGAGAAATATAGACCAGCAACTATGGGGAATGTGATCAACTCCAGGATAAAAGTCAGATAATGAAGCATGTTTTGTACTAACTGGAAGAATGTGTAATGATGGGAGAAATCACCACAGGATTTCAAGCAAAGAAGGGCAGGCACTATTTGGACCTGAAATTTACTATGTTTTCAATAAGTGTTTCCACCAGGCCCATGTGTTAAAGGTTTAGATCACAGTCCATGGTGCTACAGGGAGGTGGTAGAATGTTTAAGAGGTAGAGCCTAGAGGGAGGAAGTTATCAAGGGTGTACTCTTGAGGGGGATAATGACTACTTCTTATCTCTCTTTTTCAATCCCTGGCTGCTATGAGGTAACAGCTTCCTCCACTACACACCCCCACCATGTGGTACTGCTTTGCCACAGGCCTAAAAGCACCGGACCAGCCAATGATGAACTGAAATCTCTGAATCCATAAGCTAAAACAAAACTTTCCTCCTTACAAGTTTATTTATTTTGAGTATTTTGTCATAGTAACAGCTGACTAACACAAACTCTAAGATCTTTGGGGGCAGAGTTACAGGTCCAATAAACCATTTCTCTGACTACTAGTGGTTGCAGCTTATGAAGGTTGTATTTCTGATCAGCAGGTTGAATCTTTGAAGAGACAGCTGGCTGAGGTCCAAGGACAAGGGCATTGCATGGTTCTCAGACTTACTCTGTTGGCTACAGAAGGCCTGATAAGGCACATAGTAATGACTAAAGTGGTGCTTTGGTCTGAATGCTTATGTCTCCCCCTGATAAAATTCATATGTTAGAACTCTAATGTCCAAGGTCATAATATTAGGAAGTATGGCCTTTGGGGGTGATTAGGTCATAGGGCTAGAACTCTCATGAATGGGATTAATATCTCTATAAAAAGAGGCCCCAGAAAGTTGCTTCATCCCTTCCATCATGTAAGAACAGAGCTAGAATGTGCCACCTATGAATCAAGAAATAGGCCCTCATCAGAAAATGTGTCTGCTAGTGCTTTGAACTTGAACTTTTTAGCCTCCAGAACATGTGAATAAATTCCTGTTGTTTAAAGCTGCACATTCAATGGAATTATATTATAGAAGCCTAAACAGTTTAGGACAAGTAGTGATTGTTTTTGTTATCTCCTTGGGTTCTTGGAACATGCATCTCAATTTAGCATCCTTCCCCTAGCCTATGCCTATTGGGAATCTGAAATAAGAATCTGTTGGCTTTTCTGATGGGTACTACCCAAGAAAGCCCTGAATTTTCACACTGTTCATATCATTTTAAAAAATAATTTGACAAAATTAATAGTAAATCAACCATCCAGATTTTAGACAGCTTCAAAGGATCAGCTTCTGAAAAAGATTATCTTTGATATTATTTCCTGACCATCTGGACATGGTTATGACATGGAACTTCTACTGCTTTTAAATATAGTCTCACTTACTGATATTTATCCTAATCTACATTTGGGCCAGAGTAAACTTTAATTTCTCTGCACCTTAAGTGTCATGATTTGTCCCAATGTTGTTCTACTTGAAGTCTTTCAGGAGGAGGACTACAGCCCTAGAGACCTTTCATCCAGAGACAACTAAATTAGCCACAATGAAAAGCTTATTGCGAAACTGAACTATGCACAAATCTTGGTCAAGAAAAATTGCAACACATAGGCTAAATCTGTGAGAACCATTCTTAAGTTTCTATCCTTGGAAGTCAATATTCACTTGGCCATTTATTAACTAAAAATATTTATTTATTCTTACTATGTTCTCACTATATTCTATTTTAAGCTTTGGGCAGGAGATAAATAAGTACAGTAGACAAAGATTTCTGCCCTTGTGGAGCTCATATATTTTAGTTGAAGAAAACAGACAACAAATATAATAAAGTAAATGGCCTTTTAATACTGGATGGTAAAAAGTGATCCTGGGGAAAAAATAATCATCGTAAAGGTGTGTGTGGGTAGGCAGTCCTGGTTGCTGGGGGAAGTGACCTGCAATAATAGTGGGGTAAATAGTAAATAGTGGGGTCAGCATAGACCTCTAAGAAGATGGGGGAGCTAACCATACAGACAGAAAGGGAGAAAATGTTCCAGGCAGAGAAAACAAACAAGATGAAGGATCAACCCAGCACCCTCTCTCTACCCTGACCTGTTCACAGAATAGCATGGAGGTCAGTGGGACTTAAGTAGTGAGAGGGACAGAGGCAACATTACAGCTTTATTTTTTCTCTAGCTTCTTTCTGTTACCAGTGTCTTAAAAAGACATTTAACTTTGATGAATAGAAAAAACAAAACAAAAAAAAACCACTCCACTATTTAATCCCTGGCATATAACTATTTTAGTTATGTCTGTATTCACAGATGAACTGGGAGGTTAAAAGATCAAAACTGAAATTATCTCTGGAGCTTCTAAGACAATTTTATTTACAAGTGCTACAAGGCACTCACAAATATCCACATTCCCAGTTGTCAATGTAAAGAAGAAAGGCTAAGTTTTTATTCTTACAGATGTCTCCACATGCTCCTTGTCTGGACATTCCTTTGGAACCATTCTTGAGCTTGTTCTGAGGATAAGCGTGGGCAACAGCCCTCAGGCTGGTAGACGTCCAGCCAGGCTACCTTGACCTTTTTCTGATTTATATTGGCACTAACAACTAGGTCAGGTGTGATTGTCAGTTCCTTGCAGATTCAAGTTAATCTTTTGCCCTGGGAGAACATGGAGGTCCTGAGGTATCTCCTTTTTGTCTAAGCTGCCTTATTCTTTCTCTTTGTAGCCATTTCACTCTGTGGCTTCTGCCCCAGTCTCTGGTTTATGGGGTGAAAGGGCCACTTTCTTCAGGTCTGACTTACTTATCCTGGCCCTACAGTCACCTTTTCTACAACTCAGGTATCTGTTGTCTAGTTGAATTAAACAATTATTTTTTGTTTTGTTTGTCTGTAGTTAGGGTAATTTCTAGTTCAAATCATAAAGTTCAAGAATGTTAAAAACCAGGGCCTTATTGACATGACTACACTTCTGAAGAATATTTGCAGCTTATTTGCTCAATTTAGCTCTATTTTGCATAAGAGTCAACTTGTAATCCAGGCTCCAACTCACTGATTTTGTCATTTTTGTAAGGGCATCCATTTCCTCATCTGTGCAATGAAGAGATTGAATTAGGTTATTTTAAGGTTGTCAATTCTATAATCTAGGCTTGGGAATACAGCCACAAAATAACATTTTGCAGCTTTCAACCTACTCATTTCATACCTGTGTAAAAGAGAGGGAGAGGGCGTGCACACAAGACCAAGAGCAGGCACACACATCCTCCATGCATCAGCTCAATAGCTGTTAAAGTCACTTTAGGTTAGGGTTGAAAAGTCAGCTTCAACAACTTGAATTGTTTAAATGGTTCTTTTGTGTGCACTTTTTTTAAAAAAAATATTTTTAGTCATAGATGGACACAATATCTTTATTTTATTTATTTATTTTATGTGGTGCTGAGGATCAAACTCAGTACCTCACCCATGCAAGGCAAGCCCTCTACCACTAAGCCACAACCCTAGCCTTCTGTGTGCACTTTGGTGAATATGTCCAGGGGTTTTCTTCCTGGAAAGTACCTAACATTTATGGGTAAACATACATAGTGGTTCCCTAAATGAGGTTAGAGAATTTAGAAAATGAAATGCCATTATAGTCTTATTTTCAATGAACCTTATCTCCACACTAGTTGTGTTGTGCTGATGGTACATTCATGGTAGATGCCACTGTCAGGAGAATAGTCTTTCTTGCCTCAGCAATACTAAGTGTCCACAACAGAACTGAGTATTGCAAATTCATATCATCTGTTGACCTACCACCTGGTCCTTCCTGTAGAACCACATTTACATCAGTTCTCCACTTACTGGCAGATGAGAAACGATGACAGCACTCTGAGTCTATGGCAGTTGTTAGATACTTCTGAAATTCTGACATTTTTTGGTACTATCTGGGGCTTTCCAAAATCATTACAGTAGATAATACCAAAGTGCCTTAGGCATACAATAAGAATCACACTGATGTTTTCCACTGGAAGATGAAATCTATTCTCTCCAGGCTATGGTTCATTAGGGTCCATCATCTGGAGAACTGTGTTCTACCAGACAATAGCTGCTTCAAAACAATGGCTCAATTAAAATAGAGCTAACCTCTCAACTGATATTTTATAACTTTCCTAAATACAATTAAATTAAAACATACAGTGTTTAATTCAATGGTTCAGTTAACTTATATTTGCTCGTGCTTAAAACAGAATTTGAGGTCTAACCAGCTGAGAACCTAAGCAGAGCAATGCTCTCCAATTTCCCATTATTCAGCCTTCAATGATTGCTCATGGCTCACTGAAAAGAGGTTTTTTAAAAAATAAATGAATAAATATAAATTGATTAAAACATGGAGGATTAGGATCATTTTATAATTAAGTTTCCTAATTCATATCTGATAGAAATGTCAATAGTAACACAATGCCCTTGATTATAGCAAGGCTCCTTTAAAAACCAAAGTCTTGTTTTTCAGACAAAGTTTGCATTATAAAGAAGATTTTTGCATATACTTCTGCTGGTCCTAGAAAGTGTTTTTATTACTGTGAGGTTCCATTATGCCCATAGCAGAAGACTGATTTTCATTACAGTCATATCTGCATAAATATGAAAAAAGCAGGAATAATTGATTTGGTCTTTTACATTTCTGTTTCAGAAAACTTTAGATACAATGAAATACCTTTCATATAACCATCCAGTCATTTTATATGTGTTACTCACAACCTTCTACCCTGACACATTGGCACTGAATGTGGTCCAAATGGCAGTTTTT